GAACAAGAGATTATCCAAACAAAATCTTATTATCTTTTGGAATCTAACTCAAGGGAATGAATAAAGTGAATAATTTCATTGAGATTTTTTAACAAATCCCACAAGAGGAAGTGTAATTTTGGATCATGTTAGATATGAAATATCTAAGATATCTAAGAACCTGAAGTTTTAAGATATACATGAGATCTTTTTACCTGTGCCCTGAATTCTGAGTCTATTTCTTAGAATCCTTGATTCTTACTTACTGGGGCCTTAACTACTGTCGCTTTTAAAGTCTGGAACCTAATTCCTGTCCAAACTACCTGGACTTCTCCCAGTCTAAAAGACAGATCCTTTCTCAATTTCCTCAACTTATCCTAGTCCAAAATTTTACCAAGTCCTATACTTCGTCAGTCAGGATTTTCCAGGGTGGGAATTTGTCCAGGTGAAAGATCAGGGCATTTAGCATCAGAGTTCTACTGCTCAAGTTTGTTTAGTCTCAAAACAACTATAGGTCCTTATGATTGCCAATTACAAGAGATAGTAAGTAGTTCCAACTGGCTAACCATTTAGTGGCTCTCCAAGGTACATACAGGCGATCAGTTAGAGTTAAACCTGATCAGCAAAACCATGATGTTCTAAAGGTTAATCTCAGGCATGGCTGCCTATTTTAACCTAGGTAAGGACTGACACAGACAACATTTCTTCCACAGCAGAGAAGAGTCCTATCCTGATATATAGTTAAAAATACCCCATCCTGAGAAGGATGAGAAAACCAGACCAAATAGGGCACTTTCTATCCAAATTACTAAAATCTCTCTAAATAGATTATCAGACATTTGAAATAGATGTTCCATAGGCATCTGAAAAAACACCAAAACAGGACATATGATCTTTCTCCCTGAACTCACCTCTCTCCCTAATTTTCATGCTGCTGTTGAGAACACCACCATCTACCCAAGTTCCCAACCTTGGTGTCCTTTTCAATTCCTCTCTTTTTAAAAAATTAAATTAATTTGTTTAAATGAAAAAGTATTTACTCCTCCTACATCTCACCCTCCAACTGACCAAAAGAAAGAAAGAAAGAAAAAGAAAGCTCTTGTAACAAATATGATGAAACAAAACAATTCATTTCTACAGTGGTGGTGTCTGAAAAATCTTTTGTTCTACGTGTTGCATCCATAACTTCTCTGTGTCCTCATCATGAGTCCTGTAGAATCATGGTTTGTCATTACAATTCATGAGGGTTCTTAAATCTTTCAAACTTGATTTTCTTTATAATATTAATCTTTAAATTATTCTTGTGGTTCTGCATCCGTCCTCTAGAAATTATTATTGAAACACAAAGGAAGAGTGTTTGTGTTGGTAACTTCCTCTCAACCTGAGAATGAGATCAATGCAGTGTAGTCCCAACAACCTCCGAAAATCGGCTACCTTGACAAATGTCTTTCTGCATTTTAGTGAGCCCTAGCATTCTTTGTGAAATCTCACAATGGCATCATGTTATTTGGGGATTGTTGATCTGTACCTGTGATACTTGCTTTGGAATATGAAATGAAAAGAAAAAGGGCATGGCGCATATAAAAGGGAAGATGAAGCAGGAGAATAGGAAGGTGAGAGAGCAGGATGCTTTTAGAATTTTTTTATATGAGCAAATTTTTTGTATGAACAAAATGGATATAAAAATGGATATTTTCAATAACTGGAACATATTCTGTTACAGCTGCAAAATGACCCCAATACTTTGGGAGAAGAGAATAAGCATTTATAAAGCACTGTGCTGTTGTCATTACTATGCTCTCATTTCAGTCGTGTCTGACTCTTCGTGACCCCATTTGAGGTTTAGTTAGCAAAGATACTGGAGTGGTTTGCCATTTTTTTCTCCAGCTCATTTTACAGATGAAGAACTGAAGCAAACAGGGTTAAGTGACTTTCCTAGAGACACACAGCTAGTGTCTGAGGCTGGACTTGAACTCAGGAAAATGAGTCTCCCTGACTCCAGGCCCAGCACTCTATACACTGCACCACACAGCTATCCTTAGCATTGTGCTAAGCACTTTACATATTATCACATTTGATCCTCACAACTCTGCAAGGTAGCTGTTATTATTATCTCCACTTTACAAATGATGGAACTGATGCAAACAGAAGTGACCTGTTCAAGGTGACACAGCTAGTAAGAGTCAGAGGTCAGATTTGGACTTAGGTCTTTATGACTCCAGGCTCAGGGGTCTCTCTATCCACACTGTCACCTATCTGCCCTGTACTATTAACGTTAACAGCAACAACGCCCTGCACTAAACTGTACACAGTGAAAATTACTAGGAAGTGGAACTTTGCAGAACTGTAATTTTATTTGATCACAGCTTAAATCCTGGTAAAAGTGGTGATTGTACTGAGTTGATAATCCGTTATATAAAGAAAAATGATCAGAGGGAAGTATGAGGTGTAATGCCTGACACCTAGGATACCAGAGTCAATTTTAGTTGGCTGTGTAGTGTTGGGGATAGTTTATGGAAGTAATGAAAGGATCCTATCATTTTCCTTTCTCAATTGTGCTGTTTCCATTTTGAAGGGAAAAGTTCTCTACCTTGGAGATTATGGAGCTGGCTGCTGTACCCTGTGAGTACAAATTATAAACTGGCTGCTCCAAATCATTTTCTGACCTTTACCTAGGATTCAAACAGCTTAATTTTTTTTTTTTACTTTGCCATGAGAAGTCAGTCTGTACTTTTCAAACCTAGACCCAACAGGAAATATGTCAGAAAGATTTCCCACTTTCCTTTTTATACCAAATTTTTCTGGCCAGCAAATTACCTGTGACAAGTTTACTGTCACTATACATCCCAGACCTATCAACAATGTGATACAGGGCTGGATCAATAATGTTGATTAACAGTGTTGATGTAAAATCCATTAAAGGGAATAAGAAGTACAGATGTTGGTGGACTAGCTCAGAGGAGCCTAAGAGCCTGTAACAAATCCAAAACAGCCAACCTGATGCTCCCTTGAAACCCATACTTTATTTATTTGCATCATAAATGAAGGGCGTAGGAGGATGATAAAACTGAAGTAACCTGGCAATGTTAGTTGCTTTCAACAACTGTCATGTACTCATGAGCTATGTATAGTTTTCTGATTTCTAGCCTTAGGCTGTCTTCCTACATAGTCCCACGGGAACACGCCACCAGTTCAACAAAAGAGCTTGGGTCCTAAAAGATCATCTCTAAGGACATGAAGCATGAGTATATGCCAACCACTGAGAAAGCGCTCATCTCCTTCTCTTCAAAACTTCATTAGCTTGCTGATCATAGCTAACCTTCCTTATCAGCTAAAGCCCAAGATGTAAGTTCTGGGCTGCTAACAGTGGCCCTAGGGCTCCCATGGGAGGCATCATGGATATAGATGGACTTGGACTCAAGAAGACCTAAGTTTGATTCTGTGACTTTGGGCAAGTTATTGGGTTTCCTCATCTATAAAATGGGGATAATAATAACATCTACCTCACAGGGTTGTTGTGAAGGTCAGAAAAGGTATAAAGAGCTTTGCAAACCTTAAAGTGCTAGTGACACAGATCATCTGGGATGGAGTGCAGACCTCCATGAAAGCTCAAGAAGTGAATGGAAAGGCAGGACCAAAAAACATCCATAAATAGGGGGTAAGAGGAGCTATCCTGCCCTGGAGTGATGGGACTAGCTACTGTTCTTATTCACAAGACGATAAATATTTATAACTCTATCTAGGGTCCCTAAAGTTTTTAATCATCATTCTCTGGATAGCAGTCAGGGTGGATTTGTAATAGCTCCATAGCCTAACTCAATGCTTTCCACTACCTTTCCCTTTGGCTTAGCCTCTGCAAAGGTCTGTAGGATATGGCCAATGGCTTCTACAAGTCATTTTGCAGAACCCAGAATAGGAGAAGGAATTGTAAAAGTATTAATTCTTCCAAGTGCTGGCCTCCTTTTAGACCTCATCATTGCCCTCAAGGACAGTTTTAAATTATTTAAGACTTTGGGTCCTACATTGCCCCTATCCAGAAGAGGAAACTTTCCCCCCTAGGGTTTTTCCTTCTCTGTGTCCTCCTATCCAGAGGCTGCAAGCTTTTCAAACTTTCCTGGTCCTCCAAGAAGAATGAGAGAAGTCCCTGAAAATAATCTTGGTCCAATGCTCCTCCAAGGATCATTTTGACCTCTTTGCTTCATCTTTAGAATGAAAAAAACATTGTCCTTGAAAAGACAAAAAGGAGGAAATTGTAGAAGCCAGCTTAGCTACCTCCACTTAAAAACTACCCTTTTCCTATTCCTTCAAAGCAATACTCAGAGTCTCTCTCCTTTTCCTCAAATTATATGCTTCTGTGCCAAGGAAGATGCTGATTGGCAGAGAAAAGCCAGCCTAATGTAAGTGACTCCTACATAACCCTTAAGCTTATGTCTTCCTTTACTTTGTTTCATAGTAGCATTCCTCAATGAAAACACTGAAGAAAAAGTCTAGATACAGTGACCTCTCACAAAAGGAGATTGTGATCTCACTTTGATCCCATAAAGATTGAGAATCACTTTTGAAAGAAGCAATATCCCTCAGCTTAGCCAGATATCTTTTAATAAAACTGATCAATCTTGGCTTCATAAAACAAAGAAAATTTTATTTCATAATAATGTTCAGGAACAAAGTTATTCATGAGAATAAAGGCTTCCTTCCAGGCTGCAGAGGTCATATCCCAGCTTATGAGAAAATCTGAAGAAATACTGGGAAAAGATTTCTTAGTCCTATACACAGGGCTACTACACAAATTCTTCTTTCTTTCAGAACAACCTTCAGGGTTCCTCCAAAATGCTCAGGTTAAAGGCTTTTTATTCACAATGAGGAGACAAAGTGAAAGAGGCTGAGGAAAGCTAGGCTGAGTTTGTATTTCAGCTAGGCATACATTTTTGAAATGTAGGATTTCCACATTCAGTAGTGTGGAGAGGAGAGACAAATCTGCTAGGGAGTATCTGTAATTATTTTCCCCCTTCAATACTTACAGTCTTCACATCATTTTCAAAGGCTTCTCTTGCCTCTTCATAAGTACAAACTTCTTCTTTGCATTCACGTTCAATATTTCCTTGTCTTATCTCTTCCAAAAAACCATTTGCTCTTGGGTAACGCTTTAATACTGAATTGGCTTTCTCTTCAGTGAGGAAGACTGAAAAAGATGGGAAGATAAAAACACACTTCAAAAATAAATTGGTTTTAAACATTCAAAATGAAAACTGCTGGCTGATGAATTAGCACTCAGTGGTCCAAATCACTGAATCTCAGTGTTTCTTCCCTGCTTGTACATGCAAAAAAATGTCACTGGTGGTTCACTGGGTATGGAGAATAGCATAATTAATTGTTTTTAGCATACTTTTCTTGCACCTTACAGATATCTAAATGCAGCAGCAATAATGACAATATAAGAGATGAGAGACTGGAGGTTAAATCTGGATAAACAAATCTGAGAATTGAATACGATGGTTTTGAGTCTTCACACCCATTCATTCATGTAACAGAAAATCAAAGTCTACTTTTCCTGTGATTTAGGTTTTGTCCCAATTTAGTCATCAATAATGAAAATTTTTAAATGAAATTCTAGAAGCCTTAAAAATAGAAACCCAGAAAACAAGTCAAATAAATCAATCAACAAACATTTATTAAGTACCTAATTTGTGCCAGGCACCGTTTTAAGAGCTATGGACATGAAATGAGTTAAAAGACAGTCCCTGCCTTCCAGGAGCTCACAACTCAACAAGCACTTTTACTATGTTTGAGGCAATGTGCTAAGTCAGCACAGCAAAGAAAGGCAAAAACAGATCTTACCCTGATGGAGCTCACTACCTAACAGAGAAGAGGAAAGGAATAAGCATTTATATAGCACCAACTATGAACCAGACACTACTAAGCTCTTTACAAATACTATCATTTGATGCTGACAATAATCCTGTGAGGGTCCTGCTGTTATTACCTTATAATTGAGGAAATTAAGGCAAAATGGTTTGTGACTTGCCCAGGATTGATGTGTCAGGCAGGATTTGGATTCAGGTCTTCCTGAGGGGGACAACATGTAAAAAGCGAGGTACAAACAAGATATATACAGGGTTAATTGTAGGCAACCTCACAAGGAAGACTGTAGCAGTAAGAGGAACAAGAAAAGTCTTCTTGCAGAAGTAGGATTTTATCTGTTACTTGAAGTAAGCCAGGAGGCAGAGACAAAGAGACAACAAATGAAAATATATCGATTCTACTTCTGGGTAAATTAACTATTTTTTCTGATCCTCACAACCTCTCAAACCTCTCCAAAATAGAAATCATGCACCAGACATAAAGCAATTTTAGCTATTTCCATGGACAAAGACACCAAGAACCCAAACAAGGCGAATTCACTAAGAGCAGATAAGGTTGATCTCTAATCCTGATCAACTCCCAAAATGCCTTCTCCCTCCCTCTCAGGAGCAAGGCTACATTATGTGGCCCATGCACTTGCAACAGAACTCAGCTTTGTATTCCACTCTCCACCTCAGTCTAGTGCCACTGAATTCCAAACAGCAGCTTGGCTTGTGACAATAGCAAGAAGTGGTATCACTTGATGATGTAAGTCAGAGAACTTTGGAAAAGAGGGAACCAGAACAGGACATGTATGTAGGACTCTGTGGTTCTCCAAAAGCACCAGGCTGGGGCCACATCTGTCCTCCCAGGAGTCACTTGGGGCAGAAACCTAGGTTGGTTAACATGAATTGGCTAGCAGGGAAGGAGGCTGAGACAGCTTTGAAATTTAGCCCCCAGGGAAAATCCCCTCAAAGGGAATGGAATGTGATAAAGTGAGTAAAAGGGGAAAATAAACAAAAAAGACTGAAATTACCAAGTACTTCAGGAAGAAAACTCAATTAAAAACCTTTACCATAAGCAGGTAAACCAATAGGGAAGACAGTAATAACAGGAGTGGAAATGAACTCCAGATCAGGGAAAAGAGATCAGGGTTCTTTGAATTAGTGTTGCAAGTCTAAAGAAAATGAATCAACACCTGATGAGGAGAACACTATGGATTCTGAAGAGGAGATGGAACACAAAGAGCAGGATGTTCCTGGATAGTTTAAAAAAGAAACAAAAATTGTGAAAGCAGAATTTACAGCCCACACAGCAGAAATAACTGGCAGAATAGGAAAATGTGATCCACAGTAGCAAGACTCACAGAAGAAACAACCAGGAAGATAACTGATTGGGAATGAAAATACATGGAAGTAAAAGACAAGTTAGAAGAGAAGCAAAAAACATTAAAAAAAAAAAAAGCATGATTTCCATTCAAGCAAAACAAACTGACCTCCAAGAAGGGCTGTGTACATAGAATTTAAGAATTACAGGTCTTCCAGAAGATTATGATATGTTAAAAAAAAAAACCCTGAATATTCCAATTCAGGAAATAATACAAGAAAATTGCCCAGAATTCCTAAATGCAGAAGACAAGAGAAAGAACCCACATATCATATCTAGGGGAAAAAATCCCATATAGCAAACTCTAAGACATATAATGGTTAAATTTAGCAATTACACCGGCAAACAACAAATTTTGCAAGTAACCAGGAAAAAGACCTTCAAAGATAAAGAAAAGGAAATTTGAAAAACACAAGACTATTTTGTACTCTTTCCCAGAAATTAGAGGAGGAAATTGAGTTATAGATTCTAATGAGCTCAAGATGTAATCCAAGGTAATCCATCCCACAAATCTGAATCTAACCATAAATGAAAATAAATGGGTGCTCAAAATAAAAAGTCATTTGAAACATTCCTATAAAGAAAACTGGAAGAAATTATTTGCTTCTCATGTATACCAGACAACAGAAATACAAGAGGAGCAAACAAACAGAGTAACCAAAGACAACTGACAACAAAGGAACAGAGAGCCCATTAAAAAAATTGTTTCTAAATGTACACAAGGAGACAATGGTGAAAACAGAAGTTAAATAGAAGTGAGGGTGACGATTTAAACCTGGAACTTCTCAGATCAAAACCTTACAATAACCTGCTTACATGTGAATCAATGTTTTTGTGCGGTACTAAATCACAAAATTTGTTGTTGTTGTTCAGTTGTCTCAGCTGTGTCCAACATTTTGTGACCCAATTTGGGGTTGTCTTGGCAAAGATACTGGAATGATTTGCAATTTCCTTCTCCAGCTCATTTTACAGATAAGGAAACTGAGGCAACCAGGGTTAAGTGACTTTTCCAGGGTCAAACAGCTAGTAAGTATTGGTGGTGAGATTTGAACTCATGAAGATAGATGAGTCTTCCTGACTCAAGGCCCAGCACTCTATGCACTGTGCCACCCAGTTGCCCAAATTAAAAAATGAAAGGGCACATAAAATGAAGGAAAGGAGGAAAAAAAAGAGGGGAGTATAAATTGTATCCTAATCAAGTCAAAAACTAACAATAAAGGGAAAATAACTGCTGTTGTTGCTCAGGAAGGAACTCATGGGAGAATGAGTGAGGTAAAAGGAGGGCCTGAAAAAGGAGGGAAAACTTATTTTAATGGTGTCATTGGGTACTACTGAGAAATGACCCTATGGGCAAATTCTATAAAGGGAGGTAGGGACTTATGGGTATTATCTGCAGGGCTTTGGTACTCAGGGAGACCACTCATCCTGCCTCAGGAGACAAGGAATCAGAGCTCATAGGGGAAACTGACACCCTAAGAGTAGGAGCACATGGAAAGAGGGAAGAGATTTTGAGGCAAATGAGAGGGAAAATGACCGAGGGGAGGGTAAAGATGAACAAGGAACTACATATTCTGGGGCACTGAAAGATTTCTTTCATGGGTCAACAGCCTCTCAGTCACTTGTGGAAATTGGTATCTCTAAGAGTAAGGCGGGGCAGCTAAGCAGTACAGTGCATAGAGCATGGGACCTGAAGTCAGAAAGGTTTATCTTCCTGAATTCAAATCCAGCCTCAGACACTAGCTAGCTGGATGACCCTGGGCAAGTCACTTAACCTTGCTTGCCTCAGGTTCCTCATCAGTAAAATAAGCTGGAGAAGGAAATGGCAAAACACTAGAGTATCTTTGCCAAGAAAACCCCAAATGGGGTCACAAAGAGTTAGACACAACTGAAATGACTAAACAACAATAAAGAGCAAGGCATATCAGAAAAAAGAGGAGGCCAAGAGGTAAGATCTATAAGGGAGAATAGAAACTCTTTAGACAAAAGAACTCAAAAGAAGTACCTCAAAATCTCTACTTCCATGAAAACGCATTATCAATTCAGGAGATATAGTGTCATGTACCAGGAATAGCGAGGAGGCCAGTATCATTGGATCATAAAAGCATAAAAGTAATGTGCAAGAGGACTGGACTGGCAATAAAAGGCCAGGAAATGAAGGAGTTACCGGACAAAGAGAGGATTTTATATTTGATCACACGGTTTAATAGGGAACCACTGTGATTTATTGACTAGGAGCAGGTAGGGGTGCAACATGATCAGACCTGTGCTTTAGGAAGATTATCTTGGTAGCTGAGGAGAGACTTAAGGGACGGAGAAACCCAGAAGATGACATTAAAGTCTGGGTGGGATGCAAGGAGCCCCTGCACCAGTGTGGTTGGTGATAGTATCAAAGGAGGAAAGAGGAAATATTTGGGATATGTTACAAAGGTAGAATCAACAGTAGCAACAGATTAATATAGGGAGGATGAAAGGTGTCATATGGATAAATGATTCCCCAGTTTATATACCCTGCTATGACCTCTCTCCCAAGTCCTGGAAATATCTACCTATTATGAGCCAAGTCCTCAAACTCAACATCTTTGCCCCCTAAACCTCCTGATTTTCTCATTTCTGTTCATAGTGCAATTACTTTGCAAATCACCTCTTTTTTTTTTCCAAATGGAAAGTACATCTATGTTTCAGCTTCAAATTATCTACTGATCTGCAGGTTTGTATAGCAGTCAAGAAATAAACAAAAAGTAATAAACAGCTTAAAGGGGTCATTTGCTCTATGTAAACTATGTTATTAAAACTTAAAAATGAGATTTATGGTGCATAATTTTGAATTTGAATGTATCCATGAAACTTGATTGTAGATATAACAGGATCCTACATTAACCATAGCCATAATTACCAGAATATAATTTTAGAAGAAAGGAGCAGCTTAAAATACTTAAAAATTCTTATTTTTCTCCC